TCCAGTCTGGTCCAGACACTGGGACAACCCTGCATACCTGGCAACCCTCTGTGATACAGGGCTCCTGACCTTGGCTGAAAGCTGCCAGAGAATCCCCAAACAGGGCAGGTACCTTCACTTCAAAGAATGCTGATCCAAATGTAGGCCACTTGAAGATAATCTTTAGGAAGGCAAGCTTGGCTTCTTCTCTTGTTTTGCCTGCATGCTTGTTATAGTATGCCACGATGGACTGCAACAGAGAACACAACAGACCTGGAGGGTTTGCAGTACCTAGCACCAGGGATGTTAGCATCAGTCCCATGAAGATGGTTGGTTCTAGTCTCTGCTCCAATGAATGCTTCACAAAAGTGCTGGCCGGTCACTGGAGCAAGGTCTGGAACCAAGGCAGGTCCTTCTTTCTTTAGATGAGCTGTGCTGGTGACTCCATTAAAGAGATTATAAGATTTGATCCTCCAATTTATTCAGCAGAGGAGACTGAGAGACCTTCAACCCAGAGAAGCTGACAGCTCGCTGTTTGGGCACATGGCTGAGTTCAAGTCCCAGGAAACAGAAAGGTCTCAGGCTATTTCTTGGCAGTGAGACACCTACGTTATTTTATGGGTCTAGACCTGTCTGCACCTGCGCCACAGCTCCACCTGTGTAAAGCAGGGACAATTACCCCTCTGCTCAGTAGTCTGACTTAAACAACAGACCTTTACACGAGACTGTCTCCCAGCATGTGTCCATATGGAGCTGCATCCATGACTGCAGCCACAGCCACATGCTGCACAAACAAAACCCACTGCAAGGCATGCTCGTATGAACGCACATGTACAATTCCTCCTCTTGGTGATGCTGGGGAGGCTACAGCTCTGCTAAGGCTCAAGAGGGACCATGGGTCACTCGTTCTGGCAGCCCCACTTTGATGTTGAATGTCAGATAAGTCACCCGAAATGCTGGGCTTCCCTCAGCCAGGCCAATATGACTCAAACTGCTGTTTTTACCCTTTTCCAGTCATCTGGAGAGAGTTGGCGGACAAGGTCCTGAGGCACCAGCTCCTTCAGGAGCTTGGGTATGCTGGGGAAATAGGATTTGTCATCCTCAAACTTCACCCGGTAGATGAGAGACGCCAGCTGCAGGACCTCTTCCCGTGTGCACTTGTGGTAGCCACGCAGGTACTTTGGTAACTCCTGCATGGAGGAAAGAACGATTCAGAGATAGAGGGTATGACCACGGACCTTCACCCTCAGATGTTAAATGGAGTTTGTGGTGGTATCCAGTCCCTGGTTAAGAGGCTGTGCCCTGGGAACACTCATAGTTGTTGTGCTGAGTGTGGTGGAGAGGCAGCTGAGACCACACAGATGTTTAAAGATCCTCTCTGGTCTAAAACAGTCTCCTGTTATGTGGAACAGGGAGGTCCCTATGTTAGCTGTCAGGTGTGTGGATCTACGGTCTTGTTCACCTCCCCCATCCCAGTAAATCCACCCCTAGTAATGGCCACTTGGAAATGAAAGGGTTTTCTGGGATTTTTTTCAACTTAAAAAAAATCTATTCCCTCATTACCCAAAGTGTCTGAAAATGTGTCAAGTGACCAACTCAAGCATTAAGGGATACAGTCATATTGGGATAACCGCTTTATCCAGGCAAGAACACAAGGAGTGTATGTGTGTGTGAGAGAGAGAGCTTTAGGACATGAAGGTGTCTCTTGCATCCCAGAAGAAACAAGAGCAGAAGAACTGTAACTTACCATCACAGCTCATCTCCATGAATGGAGATGAATGAAAACCCTCAGGGTGCTTCTAATTGAGCCTTCCTGGAGCCTTCCGGCGGAGCCTGCCAGTAGGACACGCTCTCTCCTGTTTCTTGCTGCCCACCCAAGAGCAGCTGGCCCAAATTCCAGCTGAGCTGGTTACCCTAAAGTGCATGAAGGCTGCTCCTTGCCATGCAACTCATCAGTGCTCTTTGTAGTGCTCTATTTAAGGCAAGAATTCCTCCTATTTTCTTCCTTCTTTGTAACCCATTCCCATTCCTAATTCCTCCCAAGTCTCCACTCCTAAGGCTCCCAGAGTACCTGGTAATAGTGGAAGATTGAGTCTGCCATCGAGTCCTTTCCAGGTGTTGTATTGGTCCACAACTTTTTCATGAAGAACACTTGGTAGGTGAGGGAAGGCACTATACCTGTGCAAGGGAAGTAGGGAGCAGATATGTAAGAGCAATGCTTGCAATTGGTGTCCCTGCAAGCCATGTGCTGTCACAACCTGGAAGGACAGGGGCACTCACAAGGCCGAATGGCCTGTGACCTTGCAGAGAAAACCTCATCTTTCCCTTGCAAAGCTTTAATAAAATGGAAAGAGT